TTTCCAACATCACTAAAGCTGTCTTATGTACATGTTATCAAAGTCAGGTGTATTTCCAGAGGCTTTCAGGTGGCAGAGCAATTTTCAAAATCATATAATGTGTCTAGTAGCAGGGCAGCATGAACAAACATCAGAATGCTATATTGTATTTTTCATGATGAAAAAGAGGTTCAGGAATGGCTGCAGAAAACAATGACTGCATTTGTGCAATTTAATACTTCATTCTTCATCAAAGTTATGAGTGTGTTGCTTTCCCTTATGTTTATATCTGCCTGCAAGCCAGCACCTGACTAGAAGTGTGTATTATCCCCTCACATTTTTATTATATTTATTAACAATAGATGTTTCTTGATGAGAAATACATTCAGTGTGTTTAACTACTAGTAGTGTAGCTTGCTCATGTCAAGAAAAGCATAGATGTCGAAGCCAAAACCTAGGGCCCATTGACATAATTACTACATTACAGTATGCTACTATGCTTTTTCAAATTATTGTGTAATAGGTAGAATTAATAACTGTAATGTGCTAAAACAGAGGAGGGTCATGTAATATCAAATGCTCCACTATCTCTCACCATCAAAACCCTGATTTGATTTTATACTTTATTTCCGTTGATGACACAATGTGCCTATCTGAAAACACAACACTTCTTTTATCTCACAGTAATCCTTTATCCTGTTTGTTGTCCATCAACAACTTAAATGCTTTTGCAAAGTGAAGTCTGTCACGGCTCTCTTGACATTAAAGCAGAGTTTATCAACTGCACATATGAACACACAATGACAAGGCACTGCCCAAATGTGAATATTTGAAAAATTATAATTATAGGTCCAACAACATCATCCTTCAGCAATATATACAAGCACAAAATGAAACAATCACATCCAAAATAATGGATTCATTTTTCCATGTGAGATGATTCAGTCATATCTTGGAGATCATTAACATAACAAAAACCTAATTGAGGTACAACAGGAGAATTACACTAACAACCATGGGTTGAGCCACATAGTGATTTTTGGAATATTTACACAATCTAAACCTTGAATCTCAATTTAAATCTTTGACCTGCCATCATACACAAATATATCATTCTGTTTCGAATTCTAGTCAGAATCAGTCCATAAATAATAGGGTTTATAATAGGTGGAATTATGAGAAATTGTAAGGCCATGAAGTTCCTTAAATTCTGTGGTATAGCTGCTGATCCATACCTTGAGTACATAATATCAAAAAGCAAAGCAGCTGTGACATTAAACAGACATAACAGATGTGGCACACATGTCTGTGTGAACTTTCTCCTCCCCTCTTTGGATTTTAAAGATGACTGTACCAACTGCACATATGAACATAAAATCAAGAGGACATGAGCACAATAGAAAACAATAAAAATCAATCCAACTATGTAATTTGCTCTTGTTGAGCCACAGGCAAGTTTAACAATTGACCAGTTCTCACAATAGAGTTTATCTATGTGGGAGCCACATAATTTCAGTGTGGATGTCAAAGTTACAACCATAACTTCAGAGCAGAAAGGTACAAGCCAGGACAAACCAATTAACACAGCAATCCTTTGCACAGACATCACAGAGTGATACTCCAGAGGTCGACATATGGCCACATATCTGTCATAGGCCATGAGAACTAGAATAGAGTAGTCGATTTGTGAACTAGAGTATATAACAAAGACTTGCAAAAGGCATGCTGTATATGATATTACTTGAACGTCAGACAGCAGATCAAAGACAAATTTAGGATAAAAGCCAGCAGCTCCATAGAGTCCATTGATGCACAAAGAACACAAAAAAACATACATGGGTTTATGTAAATTTTGATCCAAAATTATGGTTAAAATGAGAGACACATTTACCACCACGATTAGACAATAACACAGTAAAGTGAGAGAGAAAAATGTAACTTTATAGTTGACAGTGGCACTAAAGCCAGACAGAGAAAATATAACTAAATTGGATGTATTACTCATTTTGCAGTAATGCTCCAAGATCAAAACTGTCAAAGTTATAAACCATATTTAGAAAACAGGATGCAATGCTGTACAAAGGTTAAAACAGT